TCCATCAACACATGCAAGAACTCCAGTCTCTACCTCATTCAAGCCCCGGGCATATAAAAAGCGGAACACCGGACGGCTTGTTACTCTTTGTCATTCCTATTGTGCAAGTTAATCTAATGTCAAAATAAACGGTTTTCGTGTAAGACACTTGTCATCTCTGTCTCCTACCGCCACCACCCACATACGATTTCGCCCCTAGGTTTTCCTGACGCGCAATTAACGTATTGCCCCAAAAATCGGCGAACTTACAAACGGGTATTGTCAATTTAACTCCACTCGAAAACCCTCAAACCATAATTTTTAAATTTAAGTGGACCTTCATTACATTATTGGATTTTTCGTCTCAAAGAACGGAAAATGGCAAAGTTTAATCAAAATCGGCCCATTAAATTTTGAGAACGAACTCGTCTCTATAGCAAAGCTATAGAACTTATATGGACAGGGGCGCCGCTAGCTGTTTGAACGCCTGTGTGCAATACTGATTATGCCGCCCGCTGTTTAACTACGACTACCTACGCTGAGCTTGCTAGAAAGGCTCTTTAGTGTTGTCTAATAAGGGTGTAAAAAAAGAAAAGAAATACTTTACAAAGAAAAACTATTTATTATTACTAAGTTATTTTTGTTTACTTAGGTGTAAAACCATATAAATATTTATCTACAGAAATTGAACTCTTCTTGCCTTTATGTTTGCGAAATCTGCTATCAATTTTCTTGTATCCAAGCTGTCTAAGATTTCATGTTCAATTGAAACTATACCTAAATTACTTGTCTTTGCTGGTGCATTGTTAATCTTAAATAGTTTTCTTTTATAATTTTTAACTTTGAAAAGGACCTTTTACCAAATGCAACTGAAACCGGCAATGTAAGTATTCTTAGTGCTATTGCTGTGTTCGGAAATGTTAAAATTAAGTCATTAGTAAAAAGATATTGTAATAGGATTTGTGGATCGTTAGACTGTTTCTGGAAAGTGCAACTTTAAAGTATTGATTTCATTAAACAAAAAATGTCTGTTTCATTATTTGAATCGTCTTTAAGCTTCAGATTTAAATCCTAACCAAGTTAAAATATCATTAATTATACGTAGATCCATGTCAGAAGAATTATTAACAAAATAATTGCAATTTGATATGCGATAGAACTGTTCGAATGCGTACAAGTACAAATTGAGAAGGAAGCTCTGTGGTGATTCCCTAATTTCGCCAGTCCTGTGAACTTCTGTCATAGAGCACGACTATGGGTACTTGGCTTTCGGGCGCCGCCGGATGGTTCAACCTGCCGACAGACGTTTCGTATTGCATCTTAATTCTGATAAATACCAATAGAGGCGCTGTTAACGCTATAATATAAATAAGAATATAGTAATTGCGCGCCGGTCAGATTTCTTTCTCTATGCGAAGACATTTCTTATGCTATAAGTAGGGTGGGTATTATAACAATGACTTTGAATATTTCGTGACCGATCGCTCGATTTTCCGCCAGCCTGGAAGTGCCGCCCGCGTGCGGCGGGCCTGTATATGGATATGGTGCGATGTTTTACGATCGCGCTAGCGACCGTAAAACATCGCATGATATCGCTTTGACGCGCGTGCTCGTGTAACGACCTTATATCTCGAAAACGAAGTTAAGGATCCCCATCTTTTATTGCATTTTTCGATTCCTCGTCGCAATTAATGGAAAATAACAAAGTTTAATCAAAATCAATCGAACAGTTTTTGAGATTCACAATTCTGTAAGAGTAGGGTTGCCACCTTTTTAAAATCGCTGACCCGGACGGCAGGTGAGGTTTGTTAGAACAGAAGTTCCTGACGCATGCGTGTATCATTTTGTAATGCGAAGATTAATTTGCAGTGCATGCTGGTTCTAAATCAGTTACTGTTAGCGACTAGGGAGACTTGGATTGGAGTAACGCAAGTGACCTAGCTCTATTGGATATTGGAGGTGTATATGATTACGAATGAACAGTACAAGCAAAAAGAAAAATAGGTCGGCAGGTTACGCACGATATCCCCGGACGGCGAGTCGGATGGTAACACTATTCTGTGCTCATTTCAATCGGATTCCCCTGCCGCCCCCCTACGCTACGCTACTCAGAACAGCACAACGTCTGGCACTCCTGCGCCTGACCAGATGTTATTCCACCGTGTCTAACGCTGCTCTTCCTGTGCTTGCCGGGAAGCCCCCCATCCTGCAGCAGATCCAGTACTGTACCGGCAGATTTCTTCTTTTCCGTGGTAAATGTATTACCATCTCGGGCAACGTGTATGACGCATCCTGTTACGAAATAAGTAGACCTTTTGCAGACCTCCCGCATCCTGCACTCAGAAGAGGTCTTGGGGCTCATGACTGTGCTACCAGCATCGAAGTTTTTACCGATGGCTCCAAGACTGCGCAAGGCACCGCAAGTGCTTTTGTTGTTTATGTCGGTAGTGAGGAATTTCATCACGACAGCTTTCCCCTGCACCCGGAGTGCTCAGTGTTTCAGGCAGAAATGTTTGCCGTCTTTAAAGCAATAGAATTCTGTAATAAAAATTTCAGCAACTACAATATTACTATTTTCACTGACAGTCAGGCCACGGTCCAAGTCTTGACTAACAAAGATACCACTCATCCCCTTGCTAGGGACACTTTGTTCTCTGCAGATCAGTCCAGTAATAATTATCATATCAAATGGATTAAGGGGCACTGCGGCACTCCAGGTAACGAACGTGCAGACTTCCTCGCAAGTGTGGCTACCTCCTTCAGGGACATCAACTCAGTGTACAGCCATTTACCGGTCTCCAGGTTAAAGCAGCTCCTCTGGCAGCAAACAATTATAGCGTGGCAACAAGAATGGGAGCGTATCCCAGAGCAGCACATTTCCCGGCAGTTCTTCCCAGATGTAGCAAGATGCCTCAGCTTGAAATGGGTCCACCCTCAACACCAGATGTCACAGCTGCTTTCAGAACATGGTAAATTCAATGTATACTTACATCGGTTTCTACACAGCGACACTGACTGCTGTCCAAACTGCTGGGGTAAGGCATTATCTTTTGTCTTGCCCACTGCTAAAGGGCATAAGGAACAAGGAACGAGCTCAAACTTTATGTGGAAGAAGATAATCTCAATTGGCCGTGTAAGCTGGAAATTTTAGTGTCGAGTAAAAAGTACTTTTCCCTTTTTCAAAAGATGGTCAAGCTTTACTTTAACAGAGCATTAATACATTGATAAACGTTTTTCCCCACTTTTATCGCTGAAAATCTTATAATATCCTTATGCCTATTGTACTGTGCATTTACTCCGTGTCTGTTACTGTACAAGGTCTGTATCATTTTCGCCTTGGTGTCCGTGTTCATGCGTGGTTTCATTTGTTTTGATCAGGCCTCTACCAATGTACTTTCATTGTGTATCTGTGTTGCACTAGCGTTGTGCAGGGACTGTATACTCTCATACTGTATATACGCGAGCTTTTTGTTTTGACTACCTTCACGCAAACTGCAATGTCTTCGGTTTCGTGATTTACCACATGACTCCTGACATCAGGATTTTATATCTATGTGTATTTTGTTTTCTTTTCTTTTACGCTCACTGTCGATTTTCCTGCTCGGCATGTCATCTCTATGTACACACTGTATATATTCATTCCGACTGTGCCTAGCGGTGTCGGGCATAATAAAGTTTATTTTGTCTGTCTGTTTGTCTGTCTACGCTACGCTACTGTCTTTAAGTCAACGACTACCACACTAGTAATTCGGTACACGGGGGAAGAAATATATGCGACGGTTTGCATATAATTTTGTACATATTCATTTCAACTTGCACAACCCGGAGAAATATTAATTAACCCCGGAGCCCGGAGATAACTCACTCAATCCCGGAGTCTCCGGGTCGAACCCGGACAGGTGGCAACCCTATGTAAGAGCCATAGGCTTCGTAAACGCTCCGCCTCAATAAAAAGTTTTTATAACAATATCTCAAACAGATGGCGTCATACGCAATTACAGTAGAGCGTCGTTTATCCGAAAGTCGGTTATCCGATAAATTCCAGTCGGCAAATTTAAATTTTCGCTAGTGCTGTGGCGCTGCAATTTTTGGCTATATCTTGGGCTACAGCAATATTGTTTTTGTTGATGTGTGTGTTTTAGCTGGCCGAACTGGCACTTTTGTGTGGTGTTTTTCTGAGGACTGTGTCATGCTGAATCGAACGTTTTTGATACTAATTTAACTTCTAAAGTAGAATTTTTTGTGTTTTTATATTTTTCAATTATTTATTTTATTTTGTTTGTAAAAAATAAAGAAATAATTTTTAACGATACAATAGCCACGATTATTATTTTAAAAAGTTTACATTAGGCTTAACATCGACGAAAATTCAACGCGAAGCGACACGTAACGAAGAAAAATTTCAACACTGGATAGGTTAATATATTTTTTCGTACACAATCGGTTATCCGAAAAATAAGTTATCCGAACAACCTCAATCCCCAATTGATTCGGATAAACGACGCTCTACTGTATATTTATTATAATTAAAAGTATACTGTACTATAAAAGTTTTAACTGCCAGGAAAGTTATGTAACTCATTGCTGGATTTTTTAAATCTAGAATTTGCCTTAGCTCATTTAAAAAACCTAAAGAATATCAAGATCTCTATTACATAAAAAAATTAGTAAGAAAATCTTTTTCATGGCTATAGAATTTTTGATGCAGTTCCGTATCCGAAACTGTACCAAAAATGGTGGAAGCATAAATACCGTCACGATCCATTATGTTGTCCTGTCGGGTCAATATGAAAAGTGAAAAGAGTTCAATGAGAACATAATGTATTAACTAGGGAAAGAGTATGGAAAAAATGCCTGACTGGGACAAATGGCCGGACTATTAACCACAATAGTACCACGTCATGCCATACGGGGGACTATCAAGTTGTAAATAAAGTTGTTAATGCAATAGAATTTGTAGACGATATTAAGCATTCAACGAACACTATAAATCTATGAAATAAGCGTAATATTATAATTACCTTTGCCCGGTCTTGATCTTCCAATTTGAAATTAAAAATTAACTGAATTAAAACAAACTTTTTTATAATACAAACTATCTTGCATATATAAATACTTACTTTGAACACGGTATCAAACATATTATAAATAAAATGACCAACAAAGCACCGATTTTCATTTTAAGCGTAGGAAAATTATTGGCTATAGCAGATGAATTGAGAAGCTTATGCGAAGATAAAATATAAAATAAAATGTTTTGGGTGTTTGCGTTTTATATACACCGCATTTATTGTAATAAACAGCGCAGCCGCATAATAAACGAAATTATATACAGTACAGCTCCCTCTAACAGAAAGCACGCTGTTTACAGAGGAAGATAGGCTTATTTTAAAGAGAAAACTTGCACATTCTATTTAGTGTTGTTACTTTTACAATCTGTGGCGTATCTACATAAAGACTAATAGGGGTCATCAAGTGCAATGGGCCCACAAAAATTGAATTATTATCATAAATTTTTAATATTTTTTCACTTATCGTACAGTAAAAAATAGTTAATATTAATAATTTTAATTTATTTTATTTTATTTATAAATTTTGTTTGTTTATACGTTTTTGTTAATAATATTCTTTTATTTCTTGTTTTTTTTTTATATACGATGTAAAGTTTGTCATTCAACACCATTTCATAAATAAATATATCTCTACTCTAATTTTGATGTTATTAAAAATGAATTTTAAACCTGTTTAAAGATTCTGAATCTAACAAAAAATGGAGTCCCATTGGAGTTCAATAAGCGTTAGGCTCCGAAAAACTTAGATCCGACCCTGCTTACAGAATACTAAAATAAACTGTGAACGTGCTGAGTGTTTAAGTAATAATAATGTTTATATATATATAAATATATATATATATATATATATAGGATATATATAAATAGGATAATATTATATAAATAGCATATATATATACATATACACTATTAAAGAAATATTTATATATATATACATATAGATATTTCTTTAATAGTCGCCCTCAAATAATAATTACATTCAATTACCAAAGTATGGAAATAATGCTCGATCTCTAATAGTAAGCATTTTAAAATAAACAGCGCATTGAATACTTGAGATTTTTAAAGTTATAGACAACGCTATTTATAAGAAAAATATGATCCAGTAGCGGATCTACTAAGAAATTAATGAAGCTTAAGCTTCTGGGCTTATAAGCCTTAGGGATTTGAAACAATTTTATTTTAATGGGTGAATTTTTCAACAGAACTGATGCCGCTTTTTAAGTGTATGTTATTAAAATAAGTCTATTTTGTTAATACAATCATAAGACATTGGGTTGAAGTACCTGTACTTTAGTATATGCACTAATATCCATTTTATATGGATGTAAGTCGTTCACAACGCAGCACACGTATTTGTAAAATCTAAGTAACTCGTACAACATGGAATTTATATAACACGGAATTATCAACAGTGTCATAGGGGGTCTACAGTATTTAGTTTTATCGGTGTCAGCGGCAATAATATTACTTTAAAACTTTGAAAATTTTAAAAGAATAAAAGATTAAGAATGTAAAATGACTCTGTCTGGTTGAAGAAATCTACATAGGTGCAGACCTACATTTAGTGATATCCTGAAACTTGAACTGTTACGGCAATCTCTTTGCAATTAGCAACAATAAAGCAATAGGGTCTTGCTTCACTTGCAAATACCGCGAGAACCATTAAATCATGCAACAGTGAACATCACTATTCTGTTGCAATATCTTATTAAATATTGCGATAAGGCTGTTGTATCTTGGCAACGAAAGGTTCAAAAATCCATCTGTCAAAACGTACAATATGAGTAAATTCTGACGAACCCAGTGAGCCCATACATCTGGAAATTCGGTTTCTGCAAATTCTGGAGAACATTTCAAAATTTGATCAAATATAGGAACATTTTGGGGCAGCGCTGTGATCGTGCCATGGCGTAACAGGGTAGCGCTCTGGTACTTCTTTAAGCATGTCGAAGCGCTTGTACTTAGTGAATATCTAAGTTGGAATTTAGACTATATACTTTGGCCAAAAACGGAGAAATTTACTTTTGCACAGTTTTTTTTTGCGTTGATAACGTATATATAGGTCATTCTTGGCACACTTAAAGTCATTTTGCAGACATTACGCCATAGAGTTGTGCTTTACCCGTACAAAACTCCACAAAGACGGTAGCGATTCAAACTCGGTCCGCCGATTACTGCCTGGCACTGCAGTTGGTGATCGGTTAACGAACATAATCTGTTCCAAGACTTTGTTCGCTATCCGAATTGTTCGTTAACCGATTATCGATTTACCATAGGTTTTTATGGGAATTTGATTAATTCGTTCTGGAGACTCCGAATAATAAAAAATGTATACTTTCTTACTACGATTATTTATATGTAATATTAGCGAAGTTGAGGCCGAAGTTTTAAACGCGAAAATGTGTACGTCGAACGTTCAGCGCCGCTTTCCTGTAAGCCTAGAAGTTTGACAATGGTGTTTGGATAGTCAGTGGAATCATGCTCGACATCCCAAACACCATTGTCAAACTTCTACGCTTACAGGGAAGCGGCGCTGAACATCCGACGTACACGTTTTCGCGTTTAAAACTTCGGTCTCAACCGCGCTAATAAAAATACATATACAGTAGAGCGTCGATTTTCCGAATTAATTGGGGACTGGGGTTGTTCGTATAACTGATATTTCGGATAACCGATTTATGTACGAAAAATAGTTTAACGTATCCAATGTTGAAATTTTTCTCTGTTGCGTGTCGCTTCGCGTTGAATTTTCGTCGATGTTAAGCCTAACGATGACTATTGTATCGTTAAAAACTATTTTTTTATTTTGTACAAACAAAATAAATATATTGAAAAATATAAAAACAATAAAAAATTATACTTCAGAAGTTAATTTAGTATCAAAAACGTAAAATATTTGAGTAGCCCAAGGCATAGTCAAAGATTGCAGCGCCACAGCACTGGTGAAAATTTAAATTTGCCGAGTGGAATTCTTTCGGATGATTGACTTTCGGAAAATCGACGCTCTACTGTATACACAGTCTTGCATTTTTATTAGTCATGTTTTTTCCGTTTTTCCGTTTGTGGGAATTAAAGAATCTGTCTAATGTCGATTGCTTTTCTCTCTTCTTTAGGATTTTTCAGAAGTAATTAATAGCATTGTAATTGTAGAGATCCCTAAGCCTATTAATCTCAACCTGGTTTGCATGCCATTTGGATGGTTTGGAAGTGGGAGAATGTCAGACCGTTGTTCTGACATCCTCCCACTTCAAAATATGTTTAATAGCAGATATTGGCATTAATCCTCTTTTTCAGAAGAAAACATATCTCGCCAAGTTTCTTGGTGTTCTTCATTCAAGAGTTCTTGGCGTTCTTCTGTCGTCAGATCCATTTCAGGTTCTACGTACTATGAGCTCTTCAATGTTCTTTATTTCTCAGATGTGATTTTTGTTACTCTTTTAGCTGCTCGAGTTTTCTTGATTATACTGTATCTTAGATAAGATTAAACTGTGGCCTACTGTAGATCTGTTCAAGCCATACTACCCAGCAATATCAGACATCATCTGCCCACTCTCTACGTTTGCTATTATACACTGACTTTTCGAAAATAAAAACCGATCCAAAACTTAACGAGTGCCCGCCCGACAGTCTCGTGAATTCTCGTATAAGAAAATTCTTTCTGTCAGAAAAATTAATGGCTGGAATTTCAAAGTTCAGAGGAATACTATCCGATCTGTATATACCGGGTTGAGTGTCGATGTCGACGTCTCCCGCGCTCCGAAAAGTTTCGAATTTACGCCTGAAGACATGGGAAGACCAATTGGTATTCCTTATTTTACGTCGCTTCTTGTGTTTGTTCTGTGAGGTGTTCGTTGTCCGAACATAAAAATCTTTCGCGAAAGTTTTCATTATTCGATTTGTTCGTTAACCGATCACCCAATGTATAATGCCACATCTATTTTGTCTATTACGGAAATCTGACTTTTAATTAAATTGAATAACATCAATACATGATTAATGATAATAACGTGTAATCCGAATTTCTCACGAATATCACGAAAGCTCGATTTCGATCTTTGTATTTTTCTTAAAGTCAATCATTGTGAAATTTGAAATATTTGTATCGAAATTCTTATTAAATAATATTTCTAATTATTTTCTAAACACATGACCGTTGTCTTATATTTAATGTACGCAATAAATTTATAATTCTTCNTTTTCTTAAAGTCAATCATTGTGAAATTTGAAATATTTGTATCGAAATTCTTATTAAATAATATTTCTAATTATTTTCTAAACACATGACCGTTGTCTTATATTTAATGTACGCAATAAATTTATAATTCTTCATTTTTTGAAATACAGTAGGCCTCGCTAAGTCAATGTTAGTTCATGTGGTATCGGCATCCTGGAAAACAAGCGTGAAAGTCTTCTTTAGAATCTCCAATCTAATGATTACAGTTTCGAATTTATTATTTAGCTTAAGTACAAAAGAAAACAGTTTAATCATACGAATAACTTTTTAAATGCACTAATCAGTTATTTAGACGAAAATGAATTTTGTTATAATGCTTAGTTACTGATCTCGTATCTGTCAGAAACATTTCATTATTTTTAAAAATTTGTAGTAAAATCTTGATAGCTGTTCAAATAACTGCAGTGGTTCAAATAACCTAGGGCTTGCTGATCTGATCGGGTCACGGATTCGATTATAAAAATACTGATTTTTACACATCTTATATCTTGTATTAAAATAGCTTTTTTAAATTTAATATCTGTACAAAATATACGAGTGATCTATTATTATTTTTTTAATTTTGTGTGTTTTTGCTGTTTTTAAATTCAAATAATATTTGTTTAAAAATTAAGGCGTAGTCGCTTCCAAAAAATTCTTGGGCGATCATCATATTTCTTTTAAATATTCTTTTAAACAAAAATTTTATCATCCAGCGAAAATTTAAAACTTCAAATAATATTATTTTCAACAATTTTCATAAACAAAAATTATCCAAATATAATTCAAACACTAGAATTTAAATTTCGAAATAACTTAAACGAAAATTAGATTCGTATTACTGTATTTTAAAAAATTTGCCATCGGATATTGTGTTTATTCGGATGCGATTTAATATAAAAATGTTTAAAATAAAATTCCTGTGATTAGAAATCTTATGGAATTATACTATTTTAATCAAAACGT